GGTGTTACATGCGAGCGCCACATCGCTCCCATAATCACCCGCGCGGCCACATTCTGCACTAGCTGGAGCCTCCGGGTGCTCCTCAGGGGGAGCCCCATGTAGAGAGCATTGCAGTAGTCCAGGCGTCACATGACCAGGGCATGAGTGACCGTGCACAAAGGGGTCCCGATCCAGAAAGGGGCACAACTGTTGGATCAGGCGAACCTGATAAAAAGCCCCCCTGGCCACGGCTGTCATATGCTCTTCTAAAGACAGCCATGTGTCCAGGAGGACACCCAAGTTGCGAGCCCCCTCTGTGGGGGTCAGGGACTCGCCCCCAATAGCCAGCGATGGCACCAGCTGGCTATATCGGGACGCTGGTATCCACAGCCACTTGGTCTTGGAAGGGTTGAGTCGAAGCCTTTTCCTCCCCATCCAGACCCGCATGGCCTCCAGACACTGGGACATCACTTTGAGGGCATCATTGGGGTGGTCTGGGGTGGAGATGAACAGCTGAGTGTCATCAGCGTACAAATGGCATCGCACCCCAAAACCACGGATGATCTCACCCAGCGGCTTCACATAAATGTTGAACAGGAGCGGCAAGAGGACCAACCCTTGCAGCACCCCGCAAGCAAGGCACCTCGAGGTCGACCTCTGCCCCCCTGCCAACACAGACTGCGACCGGTCAGAGAGATAGGAGGAGAACCACCGCAACACGGTGCCTCCCACCCCCAATCCCTCCAGCCGGTGCAGCATGATACCATGATCGATGGTATCAAAAGCCGCTGAGAGGTCTAACAGGACCAGAACAGAGGAACAACCCCTGTCCCGAGCCCTCCAGAGGTCATCCACCAATGCGACCAATGCCGTCTCCTTGCTGTACCCAGGCCTGAAGCCTGACTGGAACGGATCTAGATAGACGGTTTCATCCAGGTACTGTGGGAGCTGTCGCGCAACCACACTCTCCACAACCTTCGCAACAAAGCGAAGGTTGGAGACCGGACGGTAGTTTGCCAAAACAGCCAGGTCCAGAGAAGGCTTCTTGAGGAGGGGCCTCACCACCGCCTCTTTCAAGGCAGGAGGCAAGAAACCCTCTCTCAAAGAAGCATTTATAATCCTCTGGAGCCAGCCTCGTGTTACCTCCCAGGTGGCCAGTACCAGGCAGGAGGGGCACAGGTCCAATAAACATGTGGTTGCATTTAACCTCCCCAGGATCCTGTCCACGTCCTCAGGAGTCACAGGGTTGAACTCGTCCCAGATAACATTCTCAAGACCAGCCTCAGTCACCCGCCAGGATCTACCCAGTCAGAGTCCAAGCCTTCCCGAATCTGAGCGATTTTATTGTGCAGATACTGTGCAAAATCCTCAGCCTGCCCTTGCAAGGGGTCTTCCTGTGCTCCCTGATGTAGGAGGGAGCGAGTCACCCAAAACAAGGCGGCTGGGCGGTTATCTGCCGATGCAATAAGAGCGAAAAAGTGGTTACGCTTTGCCGCTTTTATCGCCACTAGATAGGTCTTAATATGAGACCTAACTAGTGTTCGGTCGGATTCGGAGCGACTAGCCCTCCAACCACTCTCTAGGCGTCTTTTCCGGCACTTCATCTCCCTCAGCTCCTCGGAGAACCAAGGGGCCGGGCAGGTTCGGTGTCGGGTCAGAGGCCACAAAGGCACGACTCGGTCCAGAGCACCGGCGGCCGTCCTATCCCAGGCAGCCACCAGGTCTTCAGCCGAGTCATGAGCCAGAGTTTCAGGAACTGGCCCAAGCTCCCTCTGGAACCTATCAGGATCCATCAGGCGCCTGGGGCGGAACCACCTGGTCGGTTCCGCCTTCCTGCAGTGGGGTGCAGCGGTCAAAAAGTCCAGCCTCAGGAGAGAATGGTCTGACCATGACAGGGGTTCAGTAACTATATCCCCTATATCCAGACCACTCAGCCACTGACCAGAGATAAAAACCAAGTCCAGAGTGTGTCCTCCTGCGTGAGTGGGGCCATTAATTAATTGTGTCAGGTCCATGGCTGTCATGGAAGCCATAAACTCCCGAGCCATCCCAGAGGCCTCACCAGCAGACGGCAGGTTGAAATCCCCCATGACCAAAAGTCTGGGGGTATCAACCGCCACCCCGGCAATAACGTTGAGAAGCTCGGGCAGGGCCACTGTCACGTGGCAGGGAGCCAGGTACACGATCAGCAGGCCCCCCTGCATCCCATGGCCCCACTTCATCAGGAGAGACTCACATCTGGCTATCTGAGGTACAGTGGCCTCCCTTGGATCAAGACCTTCCTTTATAACAACCCCCACCCCCCTACCCCAGCCCTGGGCCCTTGGCTGATGGAATGCGTGGAAACCTGGTGGGCACATCTCTACGAGGGGGACCCCCCCCTCTTGGCCCAACCAGGTCTCTGTAATACCTGCCAGGTCCGCACCCCCCTCCTGTATTAGCTCACAAATGAGGGGGGCCTTATTAACCATGGACCTGGCGTTGCACAACATCAGTCTTAGGCCTGGGCTCTGAAACTCTGGACAGCCGGGGAAACGAGAAGAGTCATGGGGGCCGAGGCATGCCACCACTTGGAGATAGCGGGTGCGTGCCCCCACCACTTGATGTGGCCCCCTAATTTGGAGGCAAGCTGCAGGAAAGGAGGTTACCATTTACTTAGGAATCAGAAGCGACAGCGGGACCTCCTGGCAGGGGGTGTAGAGTAATTTTTATACCCTTTTGGACCTTTGAAATTAAGATGCCTGGTGGGGTTGTTTGATTAGATCAAGATTCTGTGTTCTAATTGTCCCTATTTGGTTTCCTGTGTGGTGGTCATGGTCAAGGCTTCTTCGCCTTGGGGAAAAGTGGGGAATGGAAATTCTGTGTGGCTTTGTGTTTTCTGACTCAGTCCTTAATCCTGTCCATCCAGCCGGTCTCAAGTCTTCTAACTGGGGTTACTTGAGCCCATTCTGGCTGGGAGGCAAGGATGGCTTGACCTTCTCTGAGGACATGAAAATAGAGGGGGGAGTGTCTTATGATTCTTCCTACATATACATATATGTGGATGCCTGTATCTGTCTACATCTACTCTGTTTTCCCCAAAATAAGACATTATCCCCTGATAATAAGTCCAATCGGGCTTTTGAGCGCATGGCAACAAGGCCAAGCTCTTATTTCAGGGTTCAAAAAAATATAAAACAGGATCTTATTTCAGGGGAAACATGGTTATCTATCTATCTGTCTGTCTGTCTGTCTGTCTGTCTGTCTATCATCTATCTACCTACCTACCTACCCACCCACCCATCCATCCATCCATCCTGTTTCCCCTAAAATAAGACATCCCCTGATAATAAGCCCAATAGGGCTTTTGAGCACATGGCAATAAGGCCAAGTGCTTATTTCAGGGTTCAGAAAAATATAAGACAGGGTTTTATTTTTGGGGAAACACGGTATCTATCTATCTATCTATCTATCTATCTATCTATCTATCTATCTATCCATCCATCCATCCATCCATCCATCCACCCACCCACCATAGATACCGTAGATAGGTAGATGGATGGTTAAATAGATTGATAGATAAATAGATAGATAGATAGATACTCTGTTTTCCCCAAAATAAGACATCCCCTGATAATAAGTCCAATCGGGCTTTTGAGCGCATGGCAACAAGGCCAAGCTCTTATTTCAGGGTTCAAAAAAATATAAGACACGGTCTTATTTTCGGGGAAACATGGTATCTATCTATCTATCTATCTATCTATCTATCTATCTATCTTCTATCCATCCATCCATCCATCCATCCATCTACCTACCCTGTTTTCCCCAAAATAAGACATCCCCTGATAATAAGACCAATCGGGCTTATGAGCGCATGGCAACAAGGCCAAACTCTTATTTCAGGGTTCAAAAAAATACAAGACAGGGTCTTATTTTCGGGAAAACATGGTATCTATCTATCTATCCATCCATCCATCCATCCATCCATCTATCCAGTGGTGGGATTCAGCCAGTTCGCACCACTTCGGGAGAACCGGTTGTTAACTTTCTGAGCAGTTTGGCAAACTGGTTGTTGGAAGAAATTATTAGGGCAGAGAACCGGTTGTTAAATTACTTGAATCCCACCACTGCATCTATCCATCTACCCTGTTTCCCCCAAAATAAGGCACCCCCTGATAATAAGCCAAATCGGACTTTTGAGCGCATGGCAATAAGGCCAAGCGCTTATTTCAGGGTTCAAAAAAAAATATAAGACGGGGGTCTTATTTTCAGGGAAACACGGTGTGTGTGTGTGTGTGGTGTGTATGTATATATGCATGTGTATGTGTACACGTTTATGTATACATGTCTGCATGTGTATGTTTTTAGCTGTCTTTGTGTACATATGTATATATATATATTTGCGTATGTATGTGTGTGTGTATATATATATTTAGATTAACAGAGATGGAAGGGACCTTGTAGGTCATCTAGTATGTGCCTATGTGTATGCATTTATATTTGTGTGTATATGCATATATACTATATATACTATATATATATATATATATATATACACACACACACACAAACACACACAGAGACATATGCACACATATTTTTATTTTTTATTTTTATTTTTTTTATTTTCCCATGCTTTCCTCGGCCTTGAACTTTTTAAACCGTTTTTAACAAATTATTCCGCCAGCAAATTTATTATTTTTAAATAATAGCAGAACAGGAGGTCGCCCAGTTGGGGAAGGTGACGGCTAGCCAACGCCTTCCGTTTTTCTTCCCCCGGAAGCGAAACAAACCTCCGTAAAGCGGCCGCTCTTTCCCTCTGTCACTCTCTATTACCCGTCTAACCCTGGCGCGTTCGAATGAGGAGGCGGAGCTCCCTGAGAGACGTTACTCGCAGGCGTTAAGGAAAAAAAAAAAGACCGGAAGTTGCGTTTTGGCTTCCCTGCGCGCGCCGGACCCGCAACGGTGCTGAGACGTCGTGGCTCTCGCCCTGAGGGAAAAACCTCAGCGGCGTTGGGAAGAGAACCGGAAGTGACGTGTTGGCGTTGATACGCGCGCCGGAAATGCAGGCCCCGCGCCGCCCCTGAAGCGCCATGGCTCCGCTCTGAGGTAAAAAAAGGGCGGCCATGGCGCCGATGGGGATCCGGCTATCCCCGCTAGGGGTGGCCGTCTTTTGCCTGCTGGGCTTGGCCGTGCTCTACCATCTCTACTCGGGCTTCCTAGCCGGCCGCTTCGCCTCGTTCGTCTTGGGCGGGCCTCCCGCTCCGGCCAGCGTCTTGGTGGACTTGCGGGAGTTGCTGGCGGCTTCGGTGGCTGCGGCGGTCCGCGGCGGGGCCGAGGTGCGTCGGGTTCGTGAGGAGAACGTGCTCCACGTCCGGGCTAAAGGGAAGACCCGCGAAGGGGCTGAGGAGAAGATGACCAGCGGCGACCTTCTCTCCAACCGCAAGATGTATTTCCTCCTCAAGGCCGCCTTCCCCGGCCTGCAGGTGAGAGGAAGACTCCAAAGCCCATCCTCCGCCTCTCCCTCTGTGTGTGGTGTCAGGGGTGGGCAAAGGGGCGGGGGACGAAGCCATCCCTGCAGAGCAGGCCTTCCCAAGCAAGGCAAAGGGGAAACTGAGTGGACTGCAATTCCCAGAATTCCCCAACCAGCCATGCATGCAAGGAAAAGGCAGGTGGAGTTCAACTCCCATGATTCCCAGCCAGCCATGCATGCAAGGGGGAGCTTGGGTGGACTACAATTCCCAGTATTCTCCAGCCGACATGCTTTAATTGGGTAGAGCTCAACTCCCATAATTCCCATCCCGCCATGCTGGGTGGGGCTCAACGCCCATGATTCCCAGCCAGCCAGGCGTGCCAAGGGAAGGTATGAATTTCAATCAACGGGAAACGGGAGGTATGAATTTCAATCAACGTTGAAGGTGTGGTCTCACTTTATGTCGAAAAGCTTGCACAACAATGTCCCAGTTTGTGCAATGCAACCACGAATAGGGATGGGGCAAGCGAAAAGCAGAAGTTGCACACCGTTGTAACCCACGTATTGCCGTAACGTCAGATGTCTTTCATTTTGTCCCAAAGTGAAGCAACACCTGGCTGATCTGGCGAGTTTCCTAAAAGGGACCGTTCTAAAAACACAGCTAGTCCTTGACTTACGATGGCAATGGCGCTCCCAATTCCTGTGGCCGAGCAAGAAATTCCTTTTCTGCCAGTTGGCGGGTTTTCTTGTCACGTTGGTTAAGGGAATCGCTCTACAGGCAGTCCTCAACTTACGACTGCAACGGAGCCCCCAGTGAAGCAAGATGTTGGTTAAGTGAGCTCGGCCCCATTGAACAAGCTTTCTTGCCATCGTTGTTAAGCAAATTGCTGCGATTGTTAAGATGAATCTGGCTTCTCCCTTGATATTGCTTGTCAGAAAGACCTTTGGATGCAGCAACGGTCATAAGTATGAAGCGATGGCCAAGTGTCTGAATTTTGATGACGTGATTAGGGGCGGGCTGCAAACATAATGCTGAAACACATGAGTCCCTTTTTTCAGGGCCACTGTCACTTGGAATGGCCACTAAATGAGCTGTTGTAAATCAAGCATCTCCTGTTAAATGAGTCACCCAGTTGTTAAGTGAATCTAGGTTTCAAACCAGGTTGCAAACGGGGAATGACATGACCCTGGGATGCTGCAGCTGTTGTAAGTATGAGTCAGCTGTCAAGCATCTGAACGGAAAGGACAAGATTGCTTCTGAGAATAGAATAGAATAAAATTCTTTATTGGCCAAGTGTGATTGGACACACAAGGAAATTGTCTTTGGTGCATACGCTCACAGTGTACACAAAAGAAAAGATACGTTCATGATATCATAAAGATAACAACACTTAATGATAGTCATAGGGTACAAATAAGCAATCAAATCATACTAGGAAACAGTCAATATAAATCTTAAGGATACCAGCAACAAGGTTACAGTCATACAGTCATAAGTGGGAGGAGATTAATAGTAATGCAGACTTAGTGAATAGTGTTGGCATTCGGGAAAAAACTGTCCTTGTGTCTAGTTGTTCTGGTGTGCAGTGCTCTGTAGCGTCGTTTTGAGGGCAGAAGTTGAAACAATTTATGTCCAGAATGCGAGGGGGGTCTGTATTTTCACAGTCCTTTTTTTGACTCATGCAGTATACCGGTCCTCAATGGAAGGCAGGTTGGTAGCCATTGTTTTTTCTGCAGTTCTAATTATTCTCTGAAGTCTTTGTCTGGCTTGTTTGGTTGCAGAACCAAACCAGACAGTTATAGTCATGGTTTTCAGCATTGTAACTTGGAACGGTCACTAAACGAACAATAGTAAGTTGAGGAGTACTTGTACAAAATTTGGCACTGCGTGTAAAAGGGTTTCAGTTGGGGGCAAAAATATCATTTCCATGGGAAGCCTTTTTGGTTTCATGTTTCAAAGTACTTTCCTTGGGTAACATTAATATGACACTATATTCCAGGACATTGTTAAGAACGAAATGCATTATATATTGTGGAATTCTCGATCTCGAGCTAGGACTGTTTTTCCTTGCAGACGTTTCTTGACCCAACTAGGGAACATCATCAGGGCTAGAAGGGAGTGGGGTTTATCGAGAGGAGGAGGAGGAGACCTGTGGGGTCTGTGGTGCTCTATAAGCTTGGATGTTTTGTTTGGCTCAGCTGGGGAATATTGTCACTGCCGGAAAGGACTATATAAACAGCAAACCCCCCACTTTTTTTTTTTAGCACTGATGCTGTTCCCTAGTTTGGTCATGAATCTGCAAGAGAACCATCAAGCTCAGAGAGCACCAAGAACTACAGTTCTTCTCCTCCTCCCTTCAAGCACTGATGCATTCCCTATTTAGGTCATGAAACATATGCAAGGGAACCACCAAGCTCAGAGAACAGCAAAAACCCCATAGCTTTCCTCCTCCACTTTTCCTCTTCTTACTCCTTCTTTTCCTCCTCCTTTTCTTCTTCCTCCTCCTACCTTCTAACACTGATGCCGTTTCCTCATTAGATCAAGAAACATCTGAAAAGGTAACCTCCAAACTCAGAGAACAGCAAAAACCCCACAGCCTTCTCCTCCTTCTCTTCTTCCCCCTCCTCCTTCTCCTCCTCCACCTCCTCATTGTCTCTGCAAACCTCACTCCCTTCTACCATTTATGATGTTCCCTACTTTGATAATAGAACGTCCACAAGCCCACCCCAAGGCTCAGAGAGCGTCACAATTCAAACCCTGTGGTACACAGCTATTCTCTTCTAACGGGGTAAGTGCACCTCTGTTGATTTCACAATGGTACTTGCGCCCTTTCCCTTCAGATAAACAGCGAAGAGCACTGGGGTGAAAAAGACCCAGAGATTGTCTCCTGGGACCACACCATTCCCGATGATATTGCGAGGCAGGTCCAGCCAAAGTTGGTTCCAGTCGAGAGTCTCACCATGTGGATCGATCCCTTGGATGCAACTCAGGAATACACAGGTAACAATGATCAAAGATCAACTCTGAGAAGAATCTATCTATCTCTCTATCATTTATCTTCTAAATATTATTTATGTATATCATGTCTGTCTATTTCTATTATTTATCTTTTAAATATCTTTATCATTAAATGTTTCTATCTATCTAATCTAATCTAATCTAATCTAATCTATAATTAGAGATTATCAATCATAAGAAAAAAGACTGAAATTCCAAACCTCTGTTGCCAAGCCATATAATGACCAAGTGAATTTTGCCCTTTTTTATGACCTCCCTGGCCAGATATTTTTTTTAAGTGAATCCCTGCAGTTGTGAAGTGAGTCACATGGTTGTTAAGTGAATATATATAAAATTTCAGTTCATTACTGTCCTAGACCAGAACAAATAAAAGCCCTCGGTGAATCTCCAGTTAAAAATTCTAGAGTAAAATAATACATAACAGATCAAATCTATGATAAAATCCAGTCTATCAATTCCACATGGCCTTAACTATATTAAAATTACAATCCATGGGGACTTCCCTGTAGTTGGTCAATTAGTCATGTGGCTGTTCAGTGAATTTACCTATCAGAAGGTCGCAGCCATCATAAAGATGAGTCAGTTGCAGAGCCTCTGAATTTTGATCACGGGACCACAGAGACGTCATAAGGGCGAAAAACCAGTCCTGAGTCGCTTTTTATCAGGGCTGTGGCAACTTCGAACGATCACTAAGTGGACTGCAATAAGTCGAGGTGAAATATTGTTTATGTTTGCTTCGTTTTAACACGGACCTGATATGTGGATGTTTTCTCCACTTCCCCTCCAGAGAATCTTTCTCAGTACGTCACCACGATGGTGTGCGCGGCGGTGGACGGGAAACCAGTCATCGGCGTCATTCATAAGCCATTTTCTGGATATACCGGTAAGTGGGTATATCTCTGTAGAGATTCTTGGTCATTCAGGTCATGGAAAAAAGGTACTTTTTTCAGGAGGCAACTGGACTTTCTTGATGTTTTTTTTTTGGGAAGACATTTTGCTTCTCTTCCAAGAAGCTTCTTCAGCTCTGACAGGACAGTGGGGAATGGAAAGTTTTATACTCCTTGCAGACAGCTGGTCATTTGCATTCTTTTAGAGCAGGAGTGTCATACTCAATTTCATGGAGGGCCGCATCATGACAGTCCAGTGGCCTCCTGAAAAAGGACCTTTGGGATGGCTTCTTTGTTTCAATGCAACAGGGTTTTTTTCAAGAGTTATATCGGATTATGGGACATGAAAGCAGGGCATTTCAACATTGGCAAAACATCTGGAGCACTAATCCAAGTTTAAAGACCAGTAGGGTATAATCCAGAACCTGCCTTATTAAACACAGTTGGATATTGTGCAGACTATTAGTTGAACAAACGAGAAAGAGAAGATTTGTAGGTCAGGGTTGAACTGAGGTCCTTGCTGCTCTCTCTTTGCAGACGTTTCAGGACCCAAAGAGGTAACATCCTCAGTGCTAGAAGGGAATGGGGTTTGCAGAGCGGAGGAGGAGGAGGAGGTGGAAGACTGTAAGGTCCTTGGTGCTCTTTGAGCTTGGTGGGTTTTATGCAGATGTTTCATGACCCAACTAGAGAACATCATCAGTACTAGAAGAGACAGATTTGCAGAGAGAAGGGAAGGAAGGGGAAGACTGGGGGTCCTTAGTGCTCTCTCTTGGAAGATGTTTCATAACTCGACTAAGTAATACATGTTACAAGGGAGTTAATTTTGCAAGGAGGAGGATGTGGTGGTGGAGGAGGAGGAGGAGAGAGAGGAAGAGGAGGAGGAGGAGGGGTATGGGGTCCTTGGTGCTCTCTGAGCTGGATGGTTTTCTTGCAGACCCTTTATGACCCGACTAGGGAACATCATCAGTGTTAGAAGGGAGGGGATTTGTGGAGATGAGGAGGTTGGAGGAAGAAGAGGGGGACTGGTCCTTTGTGATCACTGAGCTTAGTTTTTTTCATTGCAGACATTTTATAGTAGGTAGCATCATCAGTTGTGGAAGTCAGGGGAGTTTGTGAAGAGGAGAAGGAGGCAGGAGGGGGAGGAGAGAGAGAGAAGGGGAAGGAGAAGGAGGACAAAGAGGGAGAGGAAGAGGAGAACTGTGAATTCCTTGGTGCTCTGAGCTTGGTTCTTATCTTGCAGAGATTTCATGACCCAACTAGGTAACACCATCAGTGTTAGAACGGAGAGGGGTTTGTGAAATGGAGAAGGAGGGAGGAGGGGGACGAGAGTAAGAAGGGGAAGGAGGAGGAGGAGAATGACTTTGTGGTCTTTGGTGCTCTCTGAGCTGGGTGGTTTTGTTTTTATATATATAGATGTAGATATATAGCTACAGATTTTTAGATGATGCTAGATTTTATTTTATTTATTTTATTTATTTATTTATTTGATTTCTCCAACAGGACTCAGGGCGGTAAACAGCCGAGATAAAACATAACATATAAAATTTAAAAGCAGTTTAAAAGACATTAAATAATTTAGGCCCTCAATTTAAAACAATCCAGTTAAAACCAATTTCAAATTAAAACTGAAAGGATGGGATCAAGCTAGCCCGGCTAGATGAAATAGATGTGTTTTCAGGGCCCGATGAAAAGTTCGGAGGTCTGGTATCGTGCGTATCTCTGGGGGTAGGTCGTTCCAGAGGGCAGGTGCTGCCACAGAGAAGGCTCTCCTGGGGGTTGTCAGCTGACATTGTCTGGCCGACGACACCCTGAGGAGGCCCTTTCTGTGCGAGCGAACTGGCCGGTGGGAGGCTACTGGCGGCAGAAGGCGGTCTCGTAGATTGATACGATATATTGATTGATATATAGAGATATAGATATATTTAGATAATGTGGATTTAGATAGAGATAGATTTATAGATAGATATAGATATTTAGATAATATAGATACAGAGATATAGATATGGTACATAGATGATAGATAGATATAGATATATAGATATAGATATTTAGATAGATATAGATATTTAGGTAATATAGGTATTAGATAGATTTATAGATATAGATATAGATTGATTGTTAGATATAGATATATACTTCATTTGAAAGCCACGCTAACCAACACCCTCAACTGGTGACTTGCTGTTTTCCAGCTTGGGCGATGGTCAATGGCGGGTCCAACATTCAGCCCCGCTCTTCCTACAACGAGCGGACGCCAACCATCATCGTGTCGCGATCCCATGAAGGGAAAGTCAAGCAGGTGGCCTGGCAGAGTTTCGGCAACCAAACTGCCATCATTGAAGCCGGTGGAGCCGGTGAGTGAATTCGGATGTTTCTTTTTGTCGCATTTCGAGTGGCGAGTCTGTGAGCAGGTGGAAAATTTGTGAGACATTCGGGAAAACTCCTAATCTCTCTCGAAATTTTTGCCCGGTAAAGAATATGATTAGTTCCTCAAGTTACAACAGTTCGGTTAGTGACCATTGAAAGTTATGACGGCCCTGGAAAAAGTGACACTGGACCGTTGTTCATACTGACGACCGATGCAGCCTCCGCGCGGTCACATGATCAAAATTCGTACACATGGCAGCTGACTCGTATTTGTGACAGTCACAGTGTCCTGGGGTCACATGGTCCCCTCTTGCGATATTCCGACAAGGAGGAATCCAGATTAATTTAACAACCGTGCGATTTAGGGAACAACTGGGGTGATTCACTTACCAACTGGGGCCAGAAAGGCTGTCAAAGGGAGCAAAGCTCACTGAGGCAAAGTCTCGCTTCACAGCTGGAATTTTGGGTGCAATTGTGGTCTTACGTTGAGGACTGCCGGTATAGCTCCTGAAGTTTGAGAGAGATGAATTACATCATGCCTTCTGTTTGCCACTCGGGGGTGCCAGGATATCCCAGGATACAGGCACTCCTGGACTTACAACTGTATATTGCTAACGCTCCAAAAATTGGCCTTCCTCCCAATTTTTAATCTTTTTGTTTTCCTCCCTCCACCCTCAGGATACAAAGTTTTATCTCTCCTCGATGTGCCCGAAGCAAATCAGGAGAAAGCCGACGTCTACATCCATGTCACCTTCATCAAAAAATGGGACATTTGCGCCGGCAACGCTGTGCTGAAGGCGCTCGGCGGCCGCATGACCACCTTAGCTGGGGAGGAGATCAGCTATGCGGGCTCCGAGGGTAATGAAGATGGCCTCATCGCCAGCATCCGGATGAACCATCAAGCCCTTGTTGAAAAACTCCCCGCCTTCGCCAAAACCTCACAAAATTGAAAGGCGGGAATAAAACCCCGTGCGAGCTACTTAAAATGAATCCCGGTGAAAGAGGAGGATGGAAAGCGAGGGGCTTCTTCAGGACCAGAATCTTGCCACAGTGGCGTTTGGAGAAGATGATCAGAGTGCGGGTGGGATGGGCTTCGGAGTCGAGGTTTTTCATTTTTAAATTTTGAGACGGTTCTGGTGGCCGAACGCTACCGAGAAATCGAGAGATGGCTTCTTTGTCCGAAACGAAATCTCTGGATTTCTTCGTAACGTCTGGAAGGGCTTGGATATTATTTCTTCTTTTTTGGGCCGATACAATACGATTTCCTCCCAACGGACGATCCTAACTAAAGCAACAAGAAGGAACCCGATTTTTACTTGAAAATGCAAACCAGCGTCATGTGGAGGAGCGTTACTCTCTCTCTTTCTCTCCCTCTCTGTGGGTTTTAATTATTTTTATTATGAGAACATTGCTTTGTTCCCCCACGTGTCATTGCGAAGAACGGTGTGCCCCTGTGCGGTTCCCGACTACTGAATATTATTGCCATGATAAAACCTTGTATGGCTCAGAAATGCTTTTTTTCCCCGAGCTTCTGATGTAAGACAACGCCTTTGATCGTTCAGCTCTTTATGCAAAGGATCCTCTCTCTCTCTCTCTCTCTCTGTGTGTGTGTGTGTGTGTATGACAGATCAATCATTTGGTTACATATACTATAGGTTGGTAGGTAGGTATATAAATATAAGCAAAGGATCATATATCTACAAATATATGATCTTTTGTGATATCTGTGTGTGTGTGTGTGTGTGTGTGTGTGTGTGTGTGTGTGTGTATATATATATATATATATATATATATATATATATATATATATATATATATATATTTGTTTTCTTTTGTTTTCATAGCTCTTTATGTGTATTTCTCTTTAGCCAGGTTCTTCCTACGTAAACCAAGATTTTTTTGCAGCCCTAGTTCAGTGAAATCCCAATCCACTAGTTTCTAGGCTTTTTTTCCAGCAGCCAGCAAGCTCCCTGCTGCCCATTGGGAGACTAAGGGATTGCGATTTCACTGAACTAGGGCTGCAAAAAAAAACTTGGTTTACGTAGGAAGAACCTGGCTAAAGAGAAATACATATATACATATATAGATAGATTTAGATTTAGATTTTAGATTTTATTGAACTTCTATACCGCCCTTCTCCCAAAAGGACTCAGGGCGGTGTACAGCCATATTAAAACATATAAACCACAAAATTTAAGAACAATTTAAAAACAAATATATAAAATTTGGCCCACGGAATTAAAAACTAACAAACACCCAATTTAAAAATTCCTATTAGGCCATAATGTATCTATATAATTATATATAAATACATATATATATGGTTCTTGACATATTTACACATATACACACACAAAAATCTACCTACCTACATATTTTAAAATTATAAACAAAAGACCATATATATATGACAGTATTAGCGTAAACTCTGCCACAAATCTTGATTAGCACCTATAAAATTATCTTCAATTTCACCGTTGGGCTGAGCGAACGAAGTCCAGAAATCATAAAATATGGTGGGATTAAGTATCTTTGTTTTCCATTTATGGGATGGGCACACACAACTGCACTTTTTGCTGCTTGACACAAAACACTAACCGGATTTTCTTCCAAGTGAAATTATTCAACAGGTAGTAGCTTAAAAAAAGTGGCGGTTGAGTTGGTTGATCAAAACTTGAGGGTAGATTAATTTAAAGGCTGGTTGGAGACGTTTCTAAACATTAATGACTTTAAGAAGGTTTGACTTCCACTCCAGAATCACCCAGCCGACCTGCTTTAAGAGGGGTGGACTTCAACTCCCAGAATCCCCTAGCTGCCAAGCTTTAACATAGGATAGCATAGCTTAGAATAGAACAGAATCAAATAGAATAAAATCTCTGTTGACTTTGCTCGTCAGAAGGACACTGTGACCGTCATAAATATGAGTCAGTTGCCAAGCGCCTGAATTTTGATCCCCTGATCGTGGGGATGCTGCAATGATTGTGTGAAAAACAGTCGTCATTTTTTTTCAACTGTCGTAACTTTAAACTGTCACTAAATGAACTTTTGTAAGTGAAGGACTAGGTTTCTTTTTTCAAGCATCCTCAACTTATGACCACAGTTCAATGTAAAATTTCTGTCGCTAACCAAGACATTTGGCGACCGCCTAGTATTTATGACGTGTTTGTGGTGTTTCCGGATCACATGATTCCCTTTTGTGACCTTCCGACCCACAAAGTCCATGAGGAAGCCAGATCCAGTCAACAACCGTGAGTCTTAACGACTGGAGGGATTCACTTAAGAACCGTGGCAAGCAAGGTCGTAAAATAGGGGCAAAAGTCAGTTCACAACTGTCTGGCTTTCAACAATGGCGATTTGGGGTTGAATTGTTGTAAAATGAGGACTTCCATCCTCCACGGTTGCACTGCCCCAGCTTTAGTTCTTATGGGCTTAAACAGCCTTGAATTGAAGTCAGGGGTCTCCCAAGTAGGCCATCGTTATGATTTGTGAACTTCAACTCCCAGGATTCCTCAATCCACTGCAAGGAATTCTGGGAGTTGAAGTCCACAAGTCTTAAACTTTTGCTAAGTTTGGAGATCCTTGTTTTAAGGCCTCTGCCTGTCAATCTTTCACTGAAACTTTGAATCAGATCAAAAGACTACACACACACACACACACACCACTTCTGGTAGAGCTAGTCCTCTCAGTGACCGAAGGTCCGATGGCCCTGAAATGGACTTAGGATCATTTTTCACACTTAACGACCAATACAGACAACCTCATGATCAAAATTTAGACGCTCGCCCTTGGACTCATAGTTACGAGGGGATCGTGTGATCCTCTTTTTACGACCTGACGAGCAAGAGTCAACAGAGGAAGCAGGATTCACTTAACGACTCTGTGACTTAAGAATGGCAGAACTTCGATTCAGAACCATGGCAAGAAAGGTCATCAAATGTCACTCAACAAATATCTCGATTAGCCACAGAGGTTTTGGGACCCCTTGTGGTCATAAATCGAGGACCCCCTGTAATCTTTATTGGTGATTGGCCAATTATGATTAGGCACACAAAGAATTTAAATACCCAATAAATGTAAATACATTGATGAAAGTCCAGGTTAAATACCAGAGTTTAAAACAACTTAAAATGTACCAATTAAAACAATTTTTTTAAAAAATAATTATTTTAATCAAAAAATTTAATTATTTCAATTTTTTAAAAATAATTTTAAAAATTGAAATGGTTAGAAAGTGAAGCCACCCACAATCTTCCACGTTTGCATCCAATTCCAAGATTCTCATGCTGATTGGCCCGGCCAGGTCCTTGACTTACAACAATTTACTTAGTGACCATTCCAAGTTATAGAACGGCACTGAAAAAAAGTGACTTAGGACCGTTCACACTTAACGGTCGTCACAGCACCCTTGTCACATGATCAAAATTTAAATGCTTGACAACTGATTCGTATTTATGATGGTCACAGTGTCCCAGGCTCACATGATTCTTTTTGTGACCTTCCCACCAGCCAAGTCAATGGGGAAGCCGGATTCACTTAATGACCGTGTTACAGGTAGTCCTCGGTTTAATAGCAGTCTGTTCAGGGACCGTTCCAAGTTACAACGGCACCCAAAAAAATGGACTTGGAACCGTCTTTCACACTTAACGACGGTCACAGCAATCCTGTGGTCGCACAATCCAAATTCAGATGCTTGGCAACTGACTTATTTATATGATGGTCCCCGTCTCCTGGGGTCACATGATGCCCTTTTGGGATCTTCCAGCGAGCAAAGTCAATGAGCAAGCCAGATTCACTTAACGACCATTTGGAAATGGCAGCAATTCACTGAATGGTGGTCGCGAAACAGGGCAAACTCCCTTAAAGAACCTTTACTCAGCAGCAGAAATTGGGGGCTTACTTGTAGTCATAAGTCGAGGACTATCTGTATCTGTGTTTGTTTATATGAATAATAAACAACTAAAATCACGTGCAAATTTCAGGTTTACATCGCACCCAGAAGAACAGCATGCGCGCGCCCCTCTAATTTTTCCTATCTCAATAACCTCCGGAGGGGGCGTGGCCTCGCATCTCCCATTTTTTACCGCAACTGACCTTCCCAAGCTCCTCCCTCTAATCTGATTCAAAGGAGCCCCTCTCATTTGCCTATCTCTTATAGCCTCAGGGGAGGCGTGGTTTCAACTCTCCCAATGGCTCCCTGCAACAGCTCTTCCCCCTCTTGTATACAGTAAACTCCCTTCTCAATTTGCCTATCTCTATAGCCTCTCATCTCCTATTGGCTGGCCGGGACAGTTCTTCCCCTTTCCCCCCACCAAGTCCTCTCTGGAGTGTCGTGCAACAGGAAGAGAGTCTTTCTCTGTCTCTGATTGGTTCCCTTTCCTCAAGATCCTCCCGCTGATTGCTTGGCGTCCTCGCCGAACGTAGTAGGCGGGCCGCTTTCCCATTGGCGGGCTCCACTTTTGGCGGGAGGAGGACGGGCTCGGTTGGTGGGCGGGGCCCGGAGCGAGGTGGTAAGCAGGGGGCTGCGTGGGGGGTCTTCGCCTCATTCGGGTTTCACGCGACGCGGTTCGTTTTGTCGACGGTGGCCGGAGAGGGACAATTACCTCATGGAGCCCGCTGTCCGCCGCCATCACTCGCACCGCCGCCGCCTGCTCCTCGGGGACGCCGAGGGTCCCCTCACCCGCCGGAGAAGCCTCGACACTGCCGGGTAAGCAGACGGAGGGGACCCCGGTGCGATTCTTGGCCTGAGGAGACCGGTGGGAGCCTTGAACCGATTTCCATTGTGTGTGTGTGGGGGGGGGGGGATTCGCGTTCCCCTCATCCTTAGCCGCCGGCGGGACTGGGATATGTAGTCCTACGAGGCCCGATAGCTACATTTTCCCCCTGAACTCACTCCACATTGCCCTACTGCGGAATGGCGAGGGAACGTCGAGGTCATCTAGTCGAGCCCCACGCTGGGCTGGTTTCGCCGGCCTTCGAAAAGGCCCGAAGCGTGTACGCCAGGTTTGGTTGTGGCGGATGAAAGGCTGATATATCCCCCCACCCTCAGCCCAGCCCACCTCACAGGATTGTTGTTGCGGAGGGAAGAAGACGAAGGGAACGGCGTTTCGTATTATTTATACTATGTACACGTTTGTGTATATGTGCATGTTATGTATGTGTGTGTGTGTGTGTCTATGAGGTGTGTGTATGTTTGACATATGTCTGTGTGGATATAAGTATCTCTGTGTGTATTTGTGATGATGAATGTGTGTTATGTTTATGGATAAATGTGTGCATAGGTGGGTGTGTAGATTGTGGATGTGTGTTTGTTTGTGAATACATGAGTGTATATGTAGATGAAGTGTATATGCATATATATGTATGTGTGTATGGATATGTCCGAGTATATGCATATTTGTGTGTGTATATAAATTATATATATGTGTGTGTGTACACATATACACACACGTCTCCTGCTTTGCAGCCTGGTGCCACAATCCCTAGACCAAAATGTCTTATTTCCGATCCTTTGCAATCCAAGGTTGCAAACCCGTTCTTGGCCTCTGTGCACAAATGGGTTTGTAGCTTTGTGGGGGGAGGAGGGTGTTCCCTGTTCGATTGTGCAGGATTGTTTTCCCCTAAACACACACACACACACACACACACACACACACACACACACACAAAAGCTCCATTTAATTCTATTTATTACAAAGCAAGAGATCACAGTCCCATCTTTGAATCTTTGCAGCTCAACTGAATCCTCTGTGGAGACGTTGGAAGTCAAGAACGCCAATATGAAGAGGACGTCGTCTTCTGATTCTACCGATTCAGGTTTGCGTCTGCTTGCCGAGGCCACAAAGAGAGCGAGAGCGTGTTTTCCAGCCTTTCTTCCTGCTTCAAAAGATGGCTGTGGATGATGGTGCTTGAAATCTCTGAGCCTAGTCTTATCCTGATTGGATAGATTCCCCTGTAATGCTCTCTGTACCTTTCTCAACAAACGTGAGCCAAGGATCATTTCTATTTAGGAGTTTTAACTGAATTAACTAGAATTATGAATGGAGCTCAAACCTCACCATCAAATTTGATCTTAGAAGGAAGCCATGTTGTGTTCCTCAGCTAAAATGTAGTGGAGGAAGGTATCTTCTTCCCTAGCACCATATACTCAAATAGTAGTCTTTTAAATTTTTTTTAAAAAAAGGCTTTAGGATTTTCTAATCTGGCATACCTAACTGGTTCTGTGAATGTATTCTGCTTTCATCAAATAGTTGTAATATGCAAGGGACATATAAACTGTGCTGTTAATTTATTCTGCTTTCCTCAATATGTAATATGCAAGCAAGATAAATTTTTTTTTAATCTCCTGCAGGCTGCTGCATGGATTCCCCTGTCCTGCTTGGCATGAATGACCTTGAAGAAAAGTAGGTGATAAAGATGCTAATGTGGTGTGTTAGCTTAAAACTACCTAGGGTCAGCAGGAAAGAGGCAGGCTGAGGAGCCTTTGTTAAGCAGAAAATCTGCTTCGAATACAAAGCTGTGAGCCAGTCAGAGTATCTCAGAGATCCAATTCTTCAGAGCTGTGGAATGAGTTTCTTAAAAGGAATTCTGCTATTACTGATATACCAAGGCCCTGCTAAACTTTCCTCCTCCTACTCTTTCCCCGTAATAAAGGGGATGAGTTATTAATTAATAACCTCTGTTATTCCGTTGAGGTGGAAGGAACCTTGGAGGTCATCTGGTCCAACCCCCTGCTTAGGCAAGAAACCTTTCTCCTCTTCCTCCAAATAATAGAATAACACATTTGCTGAAGGGTTTATTATACACAAGGAAGCCTTCAGCAAAATTGGGTGGGTGGTGGGAGACGAGTTAGGATAAGGCTTTACAAATGAGCTGTTATCAGCCTGGAACAGGAAGTGCTTTGCATATTTATCATGACAAATACTGTGGGTCAGGTGTTTTGCTGATTGGATTAGGCCCTGAAAAATTAGAATTGTTAACCCTTTTTTGTTGTCAATGCAGTTTGGCTTTGATGTTGGAAATTTAGCTTTATTTCAAGGTCCGTGTCGTTCTCTTTTGCAGCTTTCGCCTGCCCATGAGAAGAATATATTCCCTCCCGGTAAGTTCAGCTGAGGAACCATGGTCTCTTGTGTCAGTACTACTTCTCTCTTTTCTAAATCTCATTTTGAATTGCTCAGACTTCCGTGAGATTACAGGTATTGTAGATAAGGATTAGAAAAATCCCTTTATCTGCCTCTTAAAGGGTCTAGAATGGTTGAAATTTGAGCACAAAAGGGGTTTTTGCATAGTAGGGGGCAGGGAGAGTTCCTGAAAAATTTGAGTTGGTTCAGAATAGCAAAGTTGAAAGGGACCCTGGAGAGCATGTAGTCCAACCTCCTGCTCAGGCAGGAGCCTCTTCTCCGAATAACATATGAAAGGGGTCTTGGAGGTCTTCTAGTCCAACCCCCTGCTAAGGCTGAAGACCCTGCACCATTTTAGACATGCAATATATTGCTTTTTTTTGTTTTTAATTTCAAACATTAATGTCTCTGATCGGTTTTAAATCCCACCTCTGTTGCTTCAAGTCAGGATTACATGCGTTCTTCTACACATCATACACAATGCATTCAATTTAATTTGTGTTTTCTCCCTGGTTTTGTGTGTGTGTGTGATAAAAACTATGCTTCCCCTGTCTGGCTCTGGAATTGTTTTTCTCAATATTTAAAAATTATTATTTTTAGCACGGTCTTCTGGGTTGCAGCCCTGCGCTGAAGAGGAACCACTCGCCGAACCTGGATTGTGACGTTTTCCAAGCCCTCACTCCCGAAGAAAACAAAGAGAACGTGAGTTTGGTTTTCCAGAGAGATTCCGATGGAGAAAGAGAGCCACAAATTTAGCACCAGGTGTTCTGATATATGATTGGCCCCCAAGGCTTTTAATGTCTGATTTTTGTCTCGGTGACAAAAAAGGCAGAGATCTTTCCTCACAGTGAAAAGTATTGCTGAAACCTGGCCAGTTTTGCTGTTAAAATTTGGCAGATTGGACTTACAGTTCAGAACCGTTTTGAGTACAGAATAAAAGAGTTGGAGGGGATCTTAGAGGTCTTCTAGTCCAACCCTCTGCTCAGGCAGGAAACCCTATACCATTTCAGAGAAATAGTTGTCCAGTCTCTTCTTAAAAGCCTCCAATGATGACGCACCCACAATGTCTGGAAGCAAATTGTTCCACTGATTCAATGTTCTCACTGTCAGGAAATTTCTCTTTATTTCTAGGTTGCTTCTCTCCTCAATTAGTTTCCATCCATTGCTGCTTCTCCTGCCTTCTGTTGTTTTGGAGAATAGGGTGACCCCTTCTTCTTTGGGGCAGCCCCTTAAATATTGGAACACTGCTAATCATGTCACTCCTAGCCCTTCTTTTCTTTAATCTAGACATGCCCAATTCCAGTGTTCTTCATGTTTTAGACTCTAGCCCTCTAATCATCTTTGCTGCTCTTCTCTGCATTCTTTCTTGTGTCTCAACATCTTTTATATCATAGTGACCAAACTAGATATAATATTCCAGGTGTGGCCTTACCAAGGCCTTATAAAGTGTTACTAATAATTCACATGATCTTGATTCTGTCCCTCTTTATGCAGCCTAGAACTGTATTGGTTTTTTTGGCAGCTGCAGCACGCAGCTAGCTCCTATTTAAGTGATTATCCACTAGGACTCCAAAATCCCTCTCCCAGTTCCCCCTTTTGAGCCAGGTACCACCTATCCCATCCCTGCACATTTGGCTTTTCTTGCCTAAATGTAGAACCTTGTACATCCTAACTGTTTCTCTGTGTCATACAATATATGTTGGTATATACATAATTTTGTATTTATTTATTTATGTATCTATCTTGTCATGTTTATGTAGTGCAAAATTGGAGGTGGTGACTCTTTAAGACTCTTTAAGAGACTCTTCATTTTTAATGTATGCCAATTAGTGTACATTCAAAGTGACAATAAAGCTATCCTATCCTATCCTATCCTATATTCCAATATTCTATTCCATTCCATTCCATTCTCTACTCTCTATTCCATTCCATTCCTTACTTTCTTTTCCACCCTTGAGTTTCATTAGGGCCCAATGTTCAAGTCTGTCAAATGTCTTTCGTGGCACTCACAAAACCATTTATCTTACCTAACTTGAACTGTATTTTATTTTGCCATCCAGATCAATGGAAATAAATAAGAAAAAATCCTTGTCTGTTCCACACAAGTTTATCATTTTTTTAAAAAAATGGTGCTTTGTCCCCTTTTTTTTTCTCATAAGGAGCACTTTGAGTTCAAGAAACCAATCCGCCCTGCCTCTCGTGGTTCTCTGCACCTTTCTTCTTTAGACGATGAAAAAGATCCTTCGGAAGCAAGGCAGGACTCGAATACAGTACTTACGGTATTTATTGAGAAAATCTCTGGCTGGCTGTCCCAGAAAGAAGGGATGCTTCAGCTAGTAGTGCGTAGTGGAGATATGTAATCACGGGTTGTTCTCAATTTACAACCTTTTGTTTAGTGACTGTTTGAAGTTACAGTGGGACTGAAAAACAGGAATTGGGACCAATGTCTCTCCATCTGTAATGTCTTTATTTCTGGAGTCTTAATCTCAATTAAATGTGTATAAACAATAAAAATGTGGCTATTTTTCCAATAAAATATCCTTTGCTTTAGTTCTCCAGCGATCAAAATATTGGAAACAATACCAGAACGGAGATCCCTGCATTCCCACGCCTTCTATCCCAAGAAATCACAGTAACGGAAAATGATGATGGCTTCTTAGAGATGATGGCTGGCCCAGATAGCACTGTAAGTGTCATGCTGGTTTAGTTCTTGGTAATTACAATACGGCTAGCTTCTTCCCAAGGGAGAGTTCAAAATAATTCGCAAAGATAATGTTTGTTTTTAAAAATAACAAGAGCCAAATTCCAGAACAAAATTCCGGACACTTAAAAAAAACCTTTGTCATAGCTGTGAGGTTGCTTTTGACAAAAAGTTTCTGTCTTTCCCCCTGGAATTCTTGCAATGGGAAAACAGTTTGGCTCTTTATCTTGCAATGCTGCTCCTTCCCCCCCAAAAGACAAATATTTGTTATTGATATATTGTTCCCCAAAATGTAAGTTTTTCGCAACCTGAACGTCTTCGCCGTCTTAATTCGGACCCTTCTCTCCCGCTCCCGTTCCTCCTAGGCTCAATTTCCCAATCTGTCCTGATGTCGTTACCTAGTTTGGTGTTGAGACATCTAAACAACCAAACTCCAGGGAGCACCAAGGAACCCAAGTTTTTTGTTAATTTTCACGTTTTTCATGTCAGTTTCTCCTTGTTTTTATGCTGTTGGTTAATTGTGAGATGAGTGCTGTATATATTTAATAAATACAGGCGGTCCCCGATTTACAACAGTTTGTTTACTGACCAAATACTCTTCCTCCTCTTGATGTGGTACCAAATCCACATCTTTATCCTCCTCACTCCTACTCCTCCTCTTTTCTTCCTTCCTCTTCTTCACTCTTCTACATGTAATAAATACAGTTCCTTTAGTGACCGATGTTACAATGGCACTGAAAAAAAGGGACGGATCACTCATTTTTCACACCTAACAACCATCGCATAGACACGTGATCCAAATTCAGACCTCTGGCAACCGTCTCCTATTTACGACGGTCGCAGTGTCATAACCCCAGGGGGTTAGGCCATCCCCTTTTGCAACCTTCCGGCCAGCAAAGTCCAATTCACCTAACAAGCTAACAAGTGCAGCGATTCATGTAAAATGGGGCAAAACTCTCTTGACAAATGTTTCACTTAGCCACAGAAATGTTGGGCTCAATTGTGGTCGTAAGTCGAAGACTACCTGCATTGTTAATTGAGTTTGTCACAACTTGAACGTCTTCGCCAGTGGATAAAAATTGATCCGTTTTGCAAATAGGAATTCCTCAAATTACAATGGTTCATTTAGTGACCGTTCAAAATGCACTGAAAAAAAAAGGGACATAGGACCCTTTTTCACACGACGGTGGCATCATCAGATCATGTCTGTTCAGGCGCCTGGAAGCTCAACCACCATGTTTCCAACCGCAGGGATTCACTTAATGACGGTGGCAAGAAAGCTAGTGAAATGGGGCAAAACTCGACAACCGTCTCCCGTAGCAACCTAAATTTTGGGCTCAATGGTGGTTGTAAGTCAAGGACTACCAGTATAGAACTGCAATCCAAAAGCCATTTCTGGGATTATTATTATTTTTTTTTTTAACCAACCTGGAAATCTTCACGATTGCCAGCAAGAAAAAGAACAACCAGGGAGCTTCATAATATGTATTTTTATAATTCCTGGTGTGTTTCCCCCCCCCCCCTTTGTCTCCAGAGGGATGATGAGTCAGCTTCTGACATGTCGTGCCTTTGGACCGCTCCTCTGGTGGTCGCTAAGAGCGAGGACCTGCAGGTAAGTTTGGGATTTTGAAGCTTGAAAGTTGGATTTTGAAGCTTGCTTTAAAGCAAACCCCCCCCCTCCTTTTTCCCTCCCTCCAGATTTTAGGGTATTTCCGTTAAGGTTGTGCTGGTTGAGCAGGGGATTGGACTGGATGGCTTCCAAGGTCCCTTTTGACTGATTCTGTAACCTTCTCCCCCTGGAGCAGAGGGTTGGACTACATGACTTCTAAGGTCCCATCCTGCCCTGTTATTCTGTCATTCCATAATGATCTCGTGTTCAAGCAGAGGGTTGGACTAGAAGACCTCCCCGGTCCCTTCCAGCCTTGTTATTCTATGATTTTGTAAGGGTCTCCTGCTCGACCAGGAGTATGGATTAGATGACCTCTAAGGACCCTTCCATCTCTCATTTCATAATGATCTCCTGCTCGAGCTGGGGGTTGGACTAGACAACCTCCGAGGTCCCTTCCAGCTCTCTTTTTCTGCTCACTTTTCCTTTGCCTGTGGCAGTTAAGAGGAGGCTTTAATGCAAATAGAAGAGACATTGCTACTCAAATCACGGACAGAGCTTTGAAGGGAAGACCCCAGTTTTTTGTCAGGCACAGTGTGTGGGGTGTCCTTGTGTTCCTTTGCAGGGTTCAAGCTTTGTCAGCCCGTTTAAATTTCCCCCTTTGTGTGTGTGTGTGAGTTGCTATCCACAATTAAATCTTCTCTTTTTGTGTGTGTATTTAGATATTCACAATTAAGTCTTTCCCTGTGTGTGTGTGTGTTTAAATATCCACAATTAAATCTCCCCTTTGACTTTTTTGGTGTGTATGCATGTTGATATCTACAACTGTCTCATCTTGGGGACTGAGATCCTGAGTATTTGCAAAAGGTGGGCTCTGCCTGTTCCTTCTCCCCCCCCCCTCCACCTCCTTCCACTTTTGAATTTTGAGGTCATTGCTTGTCTTGGGATAGTGTCCATCATCCCTTACAGGGCATAAAAGGGCCAACAGGATCCTTTATGCTCACCTGTAATACCTCCCCTCCTTCTCCTCCCCTCACTCCCCCTCTGCCCTGCTTTGGCTTCCACCCAGAGCCAGCAGAACAAACTGAGCAACACAACTCGCAACCTGGCTAAGACGGCCGCGGTGAAAAGAACTGAGAAGACCGTCGAAGAAAGCGTCCCGGCTTTCGGCAAACGGAGGAGAAACACCCACATGGAAGATGCAGAAGCCATGGTTGGTAGCCAATGGAAAAAAGGCCGTGATTAACTGGAGGGCTGGATGCAGGGATGGTCACTCTTGCAAAGCTGCCGCTTTGTTGTATCTTAGAAGCCTTTGTAAGAACGTCCATTTTGGGGGGCATCAGCCAGAGAAGAGCAACAGATGAGTAGGCGGCTTAGGGCGGGGTGAAATCCACTTACCTTCGCACCAGTTTGCAAATTTGAGTGTGCATGCTCGCTACACTTGTGTGCGCCGCCTCCACATATGCATAGAGCCTTCTGCACATGCACAGAGGGTCAAAACGGGACGTGATGATGCCTGGGCGTGTGGGCGGAGCCGCCCGGTGCTGGCATTACCAGTTCACCTGAGCCGGATAGAACTGACTGAATTTCACCACTGGCTTGGGGGGGTGTGAAAACATAAAAAGGATGGTTGCAGGAATTGGGGATGTCTGGTTTCATGATAGAGAAGGATTAGGGGAGACATGATAGCTTCTTACAATATTTGGGAAGCTGACCCAAAGAAGAGGGGGGGGTCCAAGCTATTCTCCAAAGAACCGAAGGCAGGAGAAGAAGCAACAGATGGAAATTAATCGAAGAGAGAAGCAACCTAGAACTGACAATGAGAACAATCAATTGGTGGAATGGCTTGTTTTTAGAAGTTTAAAAGGTTAAAAGCCTTTTAGAAGGATTTTAAGAAGAAATTTGACAACCATTTGTCGGAAATGCTATAGGCCATAGGGTCTCCTGCTTGAGGAAGGGGTTGGATTAGAAGACCTCCAAGGTCCCTTTCAAATCTGTATTTTTGTCAGGACCTCCTGCTCGAGCAGGGGGTTGTATTAGACCTCCAAGGTCCCTTCCAAGTCTTTTATTCTATGATCCTGTAAGGGTCTATTGCCTGACTAAAAGGATGGACTAGAAGACCCCTAAGGTCCCTAGATAGTTAACCTACCTACTAGATAGGTAGGTGGATAGTTAGGAAGATAGAAAGATAGGATGGATGGATATAGAGGTAGATAGTAGAGATATAGAGATAGATAGATAGATAGATAGATAGATAGATAGATAGATAGATAGATAGATAGAGATGGATGGATGGATGGATGGATGGATGGATGGATGGATGGATGAATATAGAGGTAGAGATATAGAGATAGGTATAGATAGTTGATGTAAATGGATAGACGGACAGCCATAGAAGTAGCCTCACCCAAGGTCCCTTCTGTCCTTCATTCCCTGCTCAAGACAGACTTAAAACCTCTTTCCTTACGGTCTTTTCTTCATCCTTCCTTCCTGGCTCATATTAACATCCTTTATCCGGAGCAGATTTTTCTTCTTCTGGCTGTAGAAAAGGCGGATATAATTCATAAAGACATTTTGGAGATCACAAATGGCCAAGATAGCTCTCTAAGGGATGCTTGATGGAGTTCTCGGTTAGCTTCTTCCAGAGGGAGAGTCCAAACCAGTTTGAGTTTATTTTTTATTTTTTCCCCTTGCTACTTTTCAAGACAAGTGGATAACACTCCAAAACAGTTATATTTAATAATAAAAATGTAATTAAAAATGATCTCTGCTTTCAGCCATATTATTATTAATCATTGCACAGTCAGCCAGATGTTCAGATTGGGTTTGCCATTTTTGCCTTGTCTATCAAGTCCTTACCAAAGACCTGGGATAAGCAAATCTGGATGTTTGACAGTGTTGCAGAGATTGTCGCAGGATGGAAGCAGTTCCAAGTAAAGCTGCCTTCTGCAATTGACTGATGGCAAATTTGTCAATGCCTATGGTGTTCAAGTGGTGCTCCAGTTCTTTTGGGATTGCACCCAAGGCCCCTATGACTATCAGTACTACCCTTGCTTGCCTTTGCCACAGTCGTTCTGTTTCTATTTGTAGGTCTTTGCATTTTGTTCTCTTCTCCAGTTCTTTCTCTTCTATTCTGCTGTCTCCAGGCACTGCCACATCCACTGTCCAGATGATGATGATGATGATGATGATTTACTTTATTTATTAAACATGAAACTCAGTCAACTGAACATTAAAAAATGCATCACAAATAACATTGACTGGTGCTAATGGTTGATAGGGATTGCTGCCAGCGTCCCAGGTATCAACCAAGTACCTTCTTAAGATGTACGATGTTCCAAGTAGCGCAGTTTTTTGCAGTTCCGCTGCTGTTATTGCAGGAAGCTGCAATTTGCTGATGTATCTTATAAAATTCTTGGACATGGTACCAAGTGCCCCGATGACAGTGGGTATCACGGTTACATGTTTCATCCATAATCACGTAGTTTCGATGGCCAGGTTACAATATTTCGAGATTTTTTCCAGTTCTTTTTCTTCGACTCTGGCGTCTCGGGTACCGCCTTATCAATAAACTGTATGCTTCGGTTTTTGACAACTGTGATATCTGGCGTGTTGTGTTCCAAAATGATGATCCGTCCGTATTCAAGTCCCACAAGATCTTCACTGTCTCAGTTTTTGTTCTCTTCTCCAGTTCTTTCTCTTCTATTCTGCTGTCTCCAGGCACTGCCACATCCATTATCCAGACTATTATTATTATAATATTATATATTATATTATATTATATTGTATCATGTTATGTTATATTATATTATATTATATTATATTATATTTATTATATTATTTATATTATATTAATTATATTCTTATTTTTCCTTCTGTGGTAGAGTCCCTCCTGCTCTTCCTCTTTGGAGATAGGCAACGTATTGGATCGGGACCAGAGAGACCTCATTGGAGACTTTTCAAAGGTAATTCCTCCAATTCCTCCCTAACCTCTCGACTTCTCCAAGTTAATAACTGGCTTCTCTTTGCAAGCTGCACCAGGTGGGCTGTGTGTGTGTCTCCAAGCAACAATTTTTTGTTGTCTCTGCAGGGTTACCTCTTCCACACTGTTGATGGCAAACATCAGGACTTGAAGTACATCAACCCAGAAATGGTACGTGACCTCCCTCGGGAGTTGAGAAATCTGTTTTTTCTGACGGGAATGGAAAATTTTCTGAGACATTTAAAAAAAGCGGACATTTCCCAGATCCATCTGCATTCATTTTCCCTAATTACTTGAATTTCTTAAATTAATTGCATGATAGGAGTGTTCCGATATTTGAGGGGCTGTCATTCAAAGAAGAGGGGGACAATCCATTTTCCAAAGCACCCAAAGGCCAGACAAGGAAATTGATCAAGGAGAGATTCAACTTAGAAATAAGTAGAATTTTTCTGACAGTAAGAACAATAAACCCGTGGAACAGCTTGCCACCAGAACTTCTGGGTGGTTTCAAGAAGACACTGGACAGCATACCTCTCTGGAATGGTCTAGAATCTCCTGCTCAAGCAGGGGGTTGGACTGGATGACCTCCAAGGGTCCCTTTCCAACTTTGTCATTATGTGATTCTGTAAGGGTTTTCTGCTTGAGCAGAGAGAGGGTTGAAGTAGAAGTTGGACTCCAAGGCCCCTTCCAATTCTTGTTCTGTAACTCTGTCAGGGTCTCCTGCTTGAGTTTAATTTATTTGTCAAAGTGCCCAAACTTAATTCTCATCCTTTTTATTCATTTATTTATTTATTTAGTCCTTTTTCTTCTTTCCTTTTTTCTCAGATTGTCGCTATCCTGAACGGCAACTTCTCCGTCTTCATCACGCAGTGCGTGATCATTGATTGCAGGTTCCCCTACGAGTACGACGGGGGTCACATCAAGGTATGGGGGGGGGGGGAAGGACTCTCATCGAGGATCAGCCTCTGTTACAAGAGGGGAGGGGAGGAGTGTTCCACACGGCCAGCTGTGATCCAGCTGTCGCTGTGACGAAACTGGTGCCGGATCCTTAGAAGTTACGTTGTCCCAAGAGAGCAGAAGTGGAGATGCTCTGATCTGCCCATTGCACAGAAAAATGGGAGTTGACTGTCTCACTCGGTTACTTTGCCCGAACGAAGTCATTGGACCTAGTAATCCAGGCAAGTCCTCAACTTACATCCACGCCAAAGGTCCAAATTTAGGTTGCTGAGCAAGACGGTTCAAGGAAGACCGGTGGAAGGGCTTGCCGCCAGGAGTTGGAGATTTTTTGGGGAAAGGCTGGAGAAGAGCCATGTGCCTGAAGTAGTAGAGGGTCTCCTGCTCAAGCATGGGGTTGGACTGGATGACCTCCGAGGTCCCTTCCAACTCTCTTTAAGTGTCTGCTGGAGCATGGGGTTGGACTATTTGACCTTCAAGGTACCTTCCAACTGTCCTATGATTCTGTAAGGGTCTGCTGCTCGAACATGGGGTTGGGCTAGATGATCTCCGAGGTCCCTTCCAGCTCAAGTGTGATTCTTCTGATTTGCGATAAGTGGGTTTTGTCCCATTTTACGACTTTGCATGCCACCTTTGTTGTGAAAAGCCAGATCGACTTAACGACCGTTGCAGCATCCCCACAGTCAGGCGATCAATTGGCAGCTTGACCCGTGTTTATGATGGTCTTGCAAGCATCCTGGGGTCCCACAATCCCCTTTTGCGACCTTCTGACCAGTAAATTCAATAGGGAAGCCAGATTCACTTAATGACCGTGCTGCTAACTGAACAACTGTAGGGATTCACTGGTTGCAAGGTCGTAAAATGGGGCCAAACTCGCTCCACTGTCTCGCTCAGCAACAGAAATGTCGGCCTCCGTTGGCGTCGTAAGTCGAGGACCACCTACAATCCTATTTTCAGCTGTGTAATTTTTAATATTTGAAATTTGAAATTCGTTTGATAAATTGTGGGAGAGATGGACGGCATCACAATTGAACGCATAGCCAATGTTGCCGGGATCTCTTGCTCTGAGCGTTGTGTAGTTTTGAAGCAAAACCTGGAGACTTCTCTGCTTGAGGTAACTCTACTCGAGGTTTACTCGTGGTTTACTCGTTGTCCTCTCCAGGGCGCCATCAATCTTCCAATGGAGCAAGACGTGGAAGACTTTCTGCTGAAAAAACCCATGGTGTCCTCTGGAAACAAACGCATCATTGTTGTCTTCCACTGCGAGTTCTCCTCTGAGCGGGCCCCCCGGATGTAAGTATCCTGAAAACCATGCTCCCCAGCCTTACGGAGTTGCTGGTTTGGGGATTCGGATGAGCCGAGGGAGAGGATGGGTCTGTCATCATTTGGCTCCTGCTTTTTTAATTTAGTCTGTTCTCTCCCGCTCCCATTCCTCCTCGACTCAATTTTGCAATCTGCCCTGATGCCGTTAACTAGTATGGTGATGAGACGTCTGCAAGGAAGCGACTGAGCTCCATAGAGCACCAAGGAACTCCCTGTTTTGGGGGGGTTAATTTTCACGTTTTTCTTTTTCTTTTTTCCTCTTGGTTTTTATGCTGTTGATTAATTGGGAGATGAGTGTTGTACACATTTAGTAAATACAACAGTTTGTTTAGTGACTGAACCCTCTTCTCATCATCTTCTTCCTCCCTCTTCCTCCTTGCCTCCCTCCTGTTCTTATCTTCCTATTCCCCCCCTCTTCCTCCAAATTCTTCCTCTTGCTCCTTCCTCCTTTTCCTCCTCTTCCTCTTCTTCCTCCACTTTTCCTCTTCTATTCCCTTCCTCCTCTTCTTCTTCTTCCTTCTGTGCCTCCTTCCTCCTATTCCTCCTCCCTCTTCCTTTTTGTCATCTTTTTCCTTCTCATCTCTTCCTCCTCTACTTCTTTTACCTCCTCTTCTCTTTTTCTTCTTCCTCTTCCTCCTCTCCCAGGTGCCGATTTGTCAGAGAAAGGGACCGGCTGGGCAACCAGTATCCCACCCTGCACTACCCAGAGCTCTACATCCTCAAAGGGGGCTACAAGGACTTCTTCTTCAAATGCAAGGTAAATGTCACACACACACACACACACACACACACACACACACACACACACACACACAGGGCCTTTGCACCATCCCTGAGTCGGCCATTTGAGGTTGGGGAAAACCAGTGAAAGGCGAAATTTGGCACTGGTTGGACAAGGGTGAGTGGGAGTGCCAGGTGAGCCAATACCAATTCAGAAGGACAGAAGGGAATCACAGACTTGGAAGGGACCACTGGAGGTCTTCTAGTCCAACCCCTGCTCAAGAAAGGGACCTTTCTCTCCTCCTCCAGATAACAGAGTAGGATGGTACCTTGGAGGTCTTCTAGTCCAGCCCCCTACTCATGCAGGAGACCCTTCTTCTCCTCCTCCCCACAAACCCCATTCCCTTCCAGCACTGATGCCGTTCCCTAGTTGGGTCACAAGACATCTGCAAGAAAATCCCCCAGTTCAGAGAGCACCAAGGACCCCACAGTTGTTTTCTCCTCCTCTCCACAAACCCCACTCCCTTCTGCTACTGATGACGTTTCCTAGCTGGGTCATGAAATGTCTTTGCCGTAGCTGTGAGATCAGCCATTGGCAGGTGGGGTGATCCCCAATGCCAGTTTAGCGTTTCTCCAGAAGCCGGTTTTGAAATCTTTCTCTCTCTCTCTCTCTCCTTCCCATCCAGAGCTACTGCGAGCCCCAGAGCTACCGCCCCATGCACCACAAGGACTTCAAGGAGGACCTGCGCACCTTTCGCACCCGGAGCCGGACCTGGGCGGCGAGAAGAGCAAACGTGAACACTACAGCCGTTTGAAGAAGCTTTGAAGGGGACCGGGGGGGTTTCTGAAACGGACACTTTTTTGGGGGGATTGAGGTGAGGGGGGTTGGATCCGTCCTGTGCGACCCGACGGAGACCACAGGATTGTCGTCGCAGGTAGGACAGGGTAGCACTCTAGAGACGAATCCTGGATTGTTTTTCCCGTGTTTCAAGAGCACGGGTGGGAAAGTAGAGAGGGCCTATACACACACATACAGAGAGAGAGAGACAGAGAGAGAGGGGGGGGGAGAGAGAGGAAGGGAGGGGGAGAGAGAGAGATGAAGAAATAAATACTGTCAGATTAAGTTATATATATATAACTTTATATATTTCTTTTCATATATATTTGTTTCATATATATATATATATATATATATATATATATATATATATATATATATATAAATAATGTTTTTCTTTTAGCCAGGTTTCTTCTACGTAACCAAGACTCCTCTTGGTTACGTAGAAGAAACCTGGCTAAAAGAAAAACACACATAAAACTTACGAAAAGTAAGAAGTATATACATATATATATATATATATATATATATATATATATATATATATACACACACAACACACACACACACATATATATATATATATATATATATATATATAACATATATATGTATGTATATTCAGATGAAGATTATATATGTTTATATATCTATATATATAGCTTCATCTGACACTATATATAGTGTGTATATATATATGCACACACAGACATATATATCTTCATCTGAGTGTATTTATATATATATATATATAATGGAGTCCCATGAAGCTAAGAGGCCTTCGTCCGTATTGGCCGCACTCGTTTTTTCCATAGCCGGCCTCACCTCTTGTGTATTGCGTTGTTGAACTACACAATCATCGCTTAGCGCCGCCATTCAGACAAGCTCTGACCATGGTTCAGCTTCCTTGTTCAGGATCCAAAAGGGCAATTTAGGAAAAAGGAAAAAAAACTCCAGCAGTAATTCAATGATTTTAAAGGAAGCCTTGGCATAAGCCGACATCGGAGGCATAAACCTGGATGTTAGCTTGGAAGTCTTGCTCTTTTTTTTGGTGGGGTGGTGGTGGTATTTGTCCAGTTTTTGTGTAATACTAAAACAGAGGTCTCTAACTGCAATTCAGATAAACTCCGATTGGGGTTAAGCTCCTAATACAGGATCCACATGCAAGTTAATCCTAGTTTGTCACAAACTGGTTAAACCAACTTGGCTTGAAATGGCCGCACCCATCCAAGTTTACCTTAAACCGAGATTATTCTCTTACAACAAAGGAGAAACTGACCTCGACCTCTGGTTTCAGAGAAACCACACCCAGGTCTTTGTCTCCTGCCCGCTCTTGGAAGTTTTAAATAATGGCTTAGCGTTACATGCTCAAACTGGGCACCCATGTCACTATTGAAAATCCTTTTTAGCCGGTGCAGGTGCAGGAATTTTTTCAGGAAGAGTAATACTGTGTAAGCTTCCATTTTTCCGCTTTTTGCATTTGATGTCTGCATCAGACGCAGAAAAAAAACCCCCGCTACCTCAGTTTACTTAAGCCAGCAATGCTGGTTTTTTGGGGGGATGCCGGAGAGCCGGGTGAAATCTCTGCAGCTGAGTCTACTGACTATTTGTGGATCCTAAGGAAGCCTCGCTGGCTCGCTTCCTGTGTAAAAACATTCCCCAGGCACGGCCCAAATCCTGGCCTCGTGTGCATATGGTTTGTGTAGTCCTCTGCCATTTGTCAGGCTGCTCTGACCCGTTTTGCACAGCTCCACATGCCGACGGAGGGATAATAATGTGCTTTTAAGGTCTTGTAAATAGTCTTTATAAGGGAGGGTGAGGAAGATTGGGACGGATGAGAAGGGTTAGGAAAAAATGAACTCTTTTTGTGCAAATAAATTGCCCACAATTTCAAATGCGCGTGTTCTTCATTTTTTACTATTTTATTTTGTTATATTCCATTCTGTTTTGCTTTATTTTTTATTTTGTTTCGCACCATTCCAGTTTATTTTTTATTTTATTCCATTGCATTCCATTTTATTCCGTTCCATTTTTTTCATTTTATGTTTTATTTTAAATTTTATATCATTTTATTTTAAATTTTGTTTCATTTTATTTCATTACATTTTATTCCGTTCTTTTTGTTTTGTTTTGTTTTAAATTTTGTTTCATTTTATTCTTCCATTCTTCCATTTTTAATTTAATTTTATTGAATTCCTTTTTATTTTAAATTTTATGTAATTATTTTATTACATAATTTTTATTGCATTCCTTCATTTTATTTTTTATTTTATTCTATTTTTTAAATTTTATTTTTTTATCTTATTTTATTCAATTTTATTTTATTTCATTTATTTTAAATATGTAATGATTTTATTTTACATAAACTTTTATTCCATTCTATTCCTTTATTTCATTTCATTTTTTAATTTTATTTTAGTTTTCATGTGATTTATTTTTATTTATACTTCATATTTTCTAATCACCCATCTCTCCTTCGCCTTTCCTGCAGACAAACCCCCTTTTCCCAGAATTGATCACATTTTCAATTCTTTCCATTCATAGCTTTATACTTCCAGGATATTCTAATGTACAGTATTGTGCAGGCAGTCCTTGTTTAGTGACCGTTCAACATTATGACGAAAGTGAAAAAAGTGACTTAGGACCACTGTTCACACGATCGCTAGGGCCTCCCCCACGGTCAGGTGATCAAAATCCAGATCTTTGGCAACTGATTGTATTTATGACGATCGTCACATCCTAGGGTCGCCCGATCACCTTTTAGCGACCTTTCTGACCGCCAAGTCAATGAGGAAGGGTGATTTGCTTAACCATGGCGCTAGTTTAACTGCAGGGATTCACTTAATAACTTGGGCAAGAAAGGTCATGAAATGGAGGAAAAACCACTTAGGAAATGACTTGCAGGATCCAGGCGCTCCGGATCAAAGTCCCGATGCTTGGCAACTGACTCGTCTTTACGACGGTTGTGGTGTCCCTGCAGGGCTCATATGATCCCCTTTCGCAACTTTCTATCCAGCAGAGTGAATGGGAAAAGCCCGATTCACTTAACAACTGTGACGACCACAAATTTAGGTCTTTAAGTGAGTTTGCTCTGTTTTAAGAGTTTTCTCACCTTTAAGTGAATCACAGTACTTGAATTAAGTCACCCAGACGTTAAGTGAATTGGGCTTGACTGCTCGTTGGAAGGTCACGAAAGGAGATCACATGACCCCAGGACAGTGCGACCGTCATAAATGTGAGTCCATCGCTAAGGCTCTGATCATGGGGATGCTATGATGGTTGTAAATGAAAAAGTCCCTTTTTTCAGTGTAACTTTGGACCATCTCTAAATGAACTGTTGTAAGTTGAGGAGTAACCTGTATTCATGACAGGGATCCCCTTTTACGACCTGACAAGCCAACATTCACTTAACTGTTGCTCACATAAAATGATTGATTTGCTTAATGAATGGAAAAGTGATAAGATGGAGCCAAGTTTAATATGTCTCACTTAGCGACAGAAATGGGCCCGTAAATCGAGGTCTACCTGTCATTCCAATTGATAATCCGTTGTTAATTATTCCCCTGCTAATTTCAAAATCCAATCTGAAATTCCCTATCAATTTCGAAGTTGTGCTGTGTTGTGTGTTGTATTGCCGAAATGCCAGTGGATGGAGTTGTGATTCCATGCTGGAATGTGTTGTGTGTTTAGCAGAGATTTCCCCCCCCCCCTCCCGTAGTCCTCGACTTACAACACTTCATTTAGTAACCGTTCAAAGTTGGAATGGCTTTGAAAAAAAGGGGCTTACGACCGTTTTTCACACGACTGTCAAAACTTGGAGGCTTGGCCACCACTCACATTTATGACGGTTGAAGCGTCCCGGACTCGAGTCATCTTTTTACCACCTTCCAACAAGCAAAGAATCCAGAAACCAGACTTGCTTAACAACCGTGTTCCTAACTTATAACGACTGCTGAGATTCGCTTAATGACCATGGCAAGGACGGTCGTAAAAACGGGACCCAAGCCACAGAGCGAATTTGCTAACTTTGAACCACTGCTGGCGAGTCACTTAACGAACAGGAGGGGAAACATTGTGAAACGGGGGCGAAAGTCAAATGTCTCGCTTAGAGACCTACAGCTCCATTACAGTCCTTAAGTAAAAGAACTACTTGCAAAATAAGAAAACGCCTCTTGAACCGTGCTTCTGATCGTACTTTTTGTTTTTGTGGAAAGGAATGTTTTAACATGGGGCAAAATTCATTTTAACAAATGTCTCGTTTAGCAAGCTAAATTTGGGGCTCACTTGTCATAAGTGGAGGACTGCCTGTAAAAGAAGAAAACGCCTCTTTTGAACTGTGCTTCGGATCATGGTGTTCATGGCTGCGGGATGGAATTTTAAAATGGGGCAAAACTGACTGACAAACGTCTTGCGTAGCGACCTAAATTTGGGGGCTCCAAAACCCAAATTTGGGGTTGTAAGTCAAGGACTGCCTATAATAAAACACAGACACTTCTTTTTAACGGTGCTTCTGGTTACGGTTTTTGGGTTTGCGGGAAGGAATTCGCTTTGGTGCCATCCAAGCAAATTCTGGATTTTTTTCCCCCCTTGACGAATTCTCTAAAAATCTCTTCCCCTCCCGCCCCATGGAAACAAAAAATTCAAAATACAGAGTCGTTAAACAGGGCGCTACCTTTCCATCTTAAATATTTCCCTTTCATATAATAAAAATAAAATAGAATAAAATAAAAATAAATTAAAAATAAAATAAAATTAGAATAAAATAAAATAGAATAAAATAAAAAATAGAATAAAATTACATTAAAATAAAATATAAAATAGAATAAAATAAAATATAAATTAGAATAAAAATATTGAATAGAATAAAATAAAAAAATGGAATAAAATTACATGAAAATAAAATATAAAATATGAGGACCCAGATTATGGGGGCAATAAACTGACTTTGTATAAATATACAAAAGTATGAAGGCTATTGCTTAATGCATTGTAAGCCGCCCTGAGTCTCTGGAGAAGGGCGGCATATAAATCAAATAAAAAAATAAAATAAATAAAAATAAATTAGAGTAAAAATAAAATATTGAATAGAATAAAATAAAAAATATAAAATTAGAATAGAATAAAATAAAAAAAGGAACAAAATTACATGAAAATAAAATATAAAATAGAATAAAATAAAATATAAAATAAATTAGAATAAAAATAAAATATTGAATAGA